GGGATTTGAACCTAGGCTGTTAGCATGCTAAATCTTCAACCCCCAATTCCTAGTTTAATTTTATTATTGCTGTATTTATTCATTACATATCACTATATATATATATATATATAGGTATATAATATGGCTCTATCAGTAGACACAGGTTTGATTCCAATCACTAATATCACAGTGTACATCTGTTTGTAACTCCAGTTTCAGAGGCTCCTATGTCTGTTGACTTCCAGGCTTCCAAACACATACTCTGAAGCACTCACACATACACAATAAATAAGTAAATATTAAAAAACAAAGCAGTTGGTCAGCCAGTTTTCAAAGTGGCTGTAATCCTTTTGTAATCCCAGGAATGAATGCCTATGGCTAGAGGACCATGTTCAAGGTTTAAGGTCTGCCTGGGCTACTCTAATAAATTGTCTCAACAAAAACAAAACAGAGAAAACAGTGTAAACATGGCAGGGAAGATAATTCCTTTAGTTTGGTATTAATATTTGTTTTGTAATATTTGGTTATAGTATAAATAAAATAATTTTAGGATTTAATTTTTTTTTCGAGACACGATTTCTCTGTGGCTTTGGAGGCTGTCCCTCTTGTAGACCAGGCTGGTCTGGAACTCAGAGATCCTCCTGCCTCTGCCTCCCAAGTGCTGGGACTAAAGGTGTATTTAATTATTTTTGAGATAGTGCCTTAATATGTAATTTTGTGTGGCCTGGAACTTACAGGGATCTGCCCACCTCTGCCTCCTGAGTTGCTAAGGGTGTGCACTATCATACATGGTGGGTCCCGCCCCCGGCCCCCCAAAGACAGGCAGGGTCTTTCTGTGTAACCTTGACTATGCTGGAACTCTGTAGACTGTAGGCTGGCCTGGAACTCACATAGATCTGTCTGTCTCTGCCTTGTCTCCCATCCCCCATGCTGAGATTAAAGGTATGCACTAACACGGCCCAGCTACAGTGAATTCTTTTTATTTCATGTGTATGTATGTATACCCCCTTGTATGCCTGATCCACTTGGAGGCTAGAAGAGGTTGTCACATGTTGTGAGCTGCCATGTGTGTGCTGGGAACCAACCCTGGGCCTTGCAAGAGCACCTAGTATTCTTATCTGCTGAGTCGTCTCTCCTGCCTCTGGGTTATTTCTTTTAATATAAGGGTAATGAGAACGTGGGCTGGTGGTGTAGCTCAGTTGGTAGGGTGCTTTCCTAGTATGTACAGAGCCCTGATGACATATCAGGTATGGTGGTATACACCTGTACTCCAAGTATAATAAAAGGCAGAGGCAGGAGGATAAGTTTAATGTTAGCATCAGCTACATAGCAAGTTCAGGCCAGCCTATGATACAATAGACCCCGTATCAAAAAAATAACAACAGAACAACAAGGTAATGAGAACTTGAATTTCGTTTTTCCCATTTATATTTGGACTTGAACATCTGAAGGAATTAAAAGCCAGTGTTGCAAGCTGGGTGTAATGGCTTTGAAATGGAGTAGATGGAAAAACAGAATCAAATGTACAATTTTGGGTGGGGGATGAGGGATGGGGCTATTGTAAAGATTTATGGGTGAGTGTATTTATGTATGTGCACCATACACATTTGTAGTACTGGTACCAGTGGAGGCTGAAGAGGGAGTCAGATTCCTTGGAACTGAAGTTATAGGTGGTTGTGAGCCCTATGTGGGTATTCCAAATTGAACCTGGGTCCTCTATAAGACCAGCATGTGCTCTTCACTGCTGAGCCATCTCTCTAGGTCCCCCTCACTTTGGGTGTATGGGTGTGCAAGGTTTCTATAGCCCTGGCTGTCCTGCCTGGAACTCTGTAGATTAGGCTGTCCTTGAACTCACAGAGATCTGTGTCCTCCACAGTGCTGGAATTAAAGGCATGCACCACCACCACACCTGACTTCTAGTCCCTATTATTATTAAAGTGATTTTATGTGCATTAGTGTTTTGCCTGCATTTGTATCTGTGTGAGGGTTTCAGATTCTCTGTAACTGGAGTTACACACTGTGAGCTGCCATGTGGGTGCTCGAAATTGAACTGGGGTCCTCTGGAAGAGCAGCCAGTACTCTTAACTGCTGAGCCATCTCTTCAGCCCTCCTATTTTTACTTTTTTGGTTTTTCCGGGCAGGGTTTCTCTGTGTAACAACTCTGGTTGTCCTGACAACCTCCAAAGCTACAGAGAAACCCTGTCTCGAAAAACAATAACTAACTAACTAAATGTATGTATGTATGTATGTATGTAGGCCGGGTGATAGTGACATACACCTGTAATTCCAGACACCTTTAATCCCCAGGATTTGGGAGGCAGAGGCAGGCTGATCTCTGTGAGTTTAAGGCCAGTCTGGTCTACAGAATGAGTTCCAGGACAGCCAGGACTACAGAAAGAAAAACCCTGTCTAGAAAAACCAAGTAGTAATAATAATAAAAATAGTGTTTTTATTGCATTTATTATCACATGTACACCACAACAAAGTGGAGATCAGAGGACAACTTGCAGGATTTGGTTCTGTGTTGGTCCCAGAAATTGATAACCCAGGGCCTTTATTGTCAATCTGTCTCACTGGATCTTGTTTATATGTTTTTGAGACCAGGTTGATTCTCCTGCCTCTGTCTTGAATGTGCTTGGAGTATAAGTATATAACAAATTTTTCCTTTTGAGAATCAGAAAAAAAATCTGTATATTATTTTTGGTAAATAACAAGTTTAATTTCTGGTTCAGTGTGAAATGGCTTTTCCTCGTGTCAAGCCCGCACCTGATGAAACATCCTTCAGTGAAGCCTTGCTGAAGAGGAATCAGGACCTTGCTCCCAATTCTGCAGAGCAGGTATGCTCTTTCCTGAGTCTGTGCTAAGGCCTTAAGAGTTGGGCTGGAGAGATGACTCAGAGGTTAAGAATACTGACTTCTCTTCCAGAGGACCTGGGTTCAATTCCTAGCACCCACATGACAGTTTATAGCTGTCTGTAAGTCCAGTTTCAGAAGATCTGATGCCATCACATAGACATACATGCAGGGAAAACACCAATGTGCCTGTGATATAAAATTACAACAACAAAAAAGAGCTAATAAAGAAGTGTTGTGTTGCCTAGGATTTAACAGTGGTGGACCACTTATCTAGCGTCCCCTTTCTTACTGGAGGTGGAGAGTCTAGTGATGATACAAACAGATTAAATATGTTGTTTTGTGTAATTTTTGGCCTTAGGGTATTTTTGCTTTGTGACGTTTTCAGGCTTCTATCCTTTCTTTGGTGACAAAAATAAACAATGTGATTGACAACTTGATTGTGGCTCCAGGGACATTTGAAGTGGTGAGTTTTTGATGCATTAATCCTAAGTAAGGGCACCCTTGGTGGTATGAAAACTTCCTTGCCCTTTGCCTGTCACTCCTTCAGTTGTCTGTTAATCAGACAATGGAAATGCCCAATGGAAAAGCATAGGGGCATTCTAGAACTCTTGATGAGATGTATATCACTCATCCAGTCATAGGTGGTTGTTTGGGGGATGGGATTTTGTCGTGGCTGCTTCTAAATCTGGGTAGTAAGCTGATGAAATAGTTCTGTGGGAACTTAACACCTTTGTTTTTATAAACTTCTCTAAAATTTCCTTTTCAACAGCAAATTGAAGAAGTCCGACAGGTTGGATCATATAAAAAGGGGACAATGACTACAGGACACAATGTAGCTGACTTGGTGGTAATACTGAAGATCCTGCCAACATGTGAGTGTACCTTTTGTCTTCCTTTGTCAGGGAAGAGTCTTGGTGTTGGACCATGTTAGCTTGTCATGGCATGCCTCAGAAGGTTTGAGTTTGCTCTAAATATCTATGCAGTGGCAACAGCAGCCGGGCTTATAAACAGTCAGGTGTTTGTAAGTCAGTTTAGCAGAGTTCTCAACACACCCTTCTTGGTATATTTTTATTTTAGTTTTTTACAGATTTGTTATATATAGTACTCTGACTTGCATGTATGCCTGCAGGCCAGAAGAGAGCACCAGATCCCATTATAGATGGTTGTGAGCCACCATGTAGTTGCTAGGAATTGAACTCAGGATCTCTGGAAGAGCAGCCAGTGCTCCTAACCGCTGAGCCATCTCTCAAGTTCTTTATTTTATTTCTGTTAGTGTTATGTTTGCATGAGTGCATGCCTGGTGCTCACAGAGGTCAGAGGAGGGCTTTGGATCCCTTGGAACTGGAATTATACATGGTGTGACCCACCAAATGGGTGTTGGGAACTGAACCCAGGTCTTCTACAAGAGGAACAAGTACTCTTAACCTCTAAGCCACCTCTCCAGCTCCTGCAGCCCACTTTCCTAAATACTGAGGTTAGATTTAGGGCTAGTAATAATTAAAGCCCAGATTTATTTGTTTGTTTGTTTATTCATTCATTCGTGTGTGAGTGTGCATATGTGGAAGGAAAATAGTAAATTTATTATGTATTTTGATTTATTTGAGACAGGGTTTCTCTACATAACTCTGACTATCCTGGAATTCACTGTGTAGCCTAGGCAGGCCTCCAACACAGAGATCTGCTTGCCTCTGCCTCCTAAGTTGTTGGTATTAAAGGTGTTTACAACCACATTAGGCATTTTCTTTTTCTTTTTTCTTTTTTTTCCTCGAGACAGGGTTTATCTGTGTAGCTTTGGAGCCTGTCCTGACACTAGCTCTGTAGACAAGGCTGGCCTGGAACTCACAGAGATCCACCTGCCTCTGCCTCCCGAGTGCTGGGATTAAAGGCGTGTGCCACAAAGGCCCAGCTCTTTGGTATTTTCTTTTTTTTTTTTTTATAAGAAATCATTTAATATAAAATATACAAACTTCTCTGTATGAAGACCCACAGAACTGGAAGGCAGTGACAACAAACAAACCCATATAAAAGGAGGAACATGAAAGGACTGGAGACTGTGATGACATTCTTAGGACCTGCTCAAATCTATCCTTGCAAGACCCTCTCCTAACAACACAGTTTCTGGGTCCATTGGAGGTGACTGGTCAGCCTTCCATCATTCTTTGGTGTTTTCTTAATTTTTATTTTTTAATGCAATTGCAGTGATAAGGACAAACTGCAGTGCTTGTCTAGAAGAAGTTATGGCCAGTACTGCAGTCCACATCCATCAACTGGAATCAGTTTTACTCCCTGTAAGACATTGGTTGTGTCTAAAGCCGGGCGGTGGTGGTGCACGCCTTTAATCCCAGTACTCTCGAGGCAGAGGCAGGCAGATCTCTGTGAGTTCGAGACCAGCCTGGTCTTTAGAGTGAGTTCCAGGATGGGCTCCAAAGCCACAGAGAAACCCTGTCTCGAAAAAACCAACCCCCCCCCCAAAAAAAAAGACATTGGTTGTGTGTAGACACATCTTTGATTATCTCAACCAGGGAGTGCTACTGGCATCAATATAGCAAAAGGGGTCAGGTGTGCTCATGAACACCTAGAATACCTAAGGCAGACCCTGTCCTCCCTGAAGAGAATTGCCCAGCCACATGTTCTAAGTGCCACTGACCTGCAAACTCTGCTGTAGAAAGTAGACATGTAAGCCGGGCAGTGGTGGCGCACATCTTTAATCCCAGTACTTGGGAGGCAGAGGCAAGCAGGTGGTCTACAGAATGAGTTCCAGGACAGCCAAGGCTACACAGGGAAACCCTAAAGTAAAAAGATGTGTATACCTGGGGATTCTTGTTGCTTGAGACTTCTAGGCTTTCGTTCCCCCTGGCAAGAGTGTTCATTCTAGTTGAATAGTCTTCAGTCTGTGGGGTAGAAATGGAAATGTCAGTTTGTTTACATTACTGTAACAGTCACTCATTTTTTTCCAATCTAGTGGAAGCTGTTGCTGCCCTGGGGAACAAAGTCGTGGAGAGCCTGAGAGCACAGGATCCCTCTGAAGGTTTGAGTTTGCTCTGAATGTCTATGCAGTGGCAACAGCAGCTGGGCTTACTAACAGTCAGGTCTGTGTAAGTCAGTTTAGCAGAGCTCTCAGGTAGTCAGTTTATTTTCACTATGAAGGGTGGGCTATGAGACAGAGACTTACTCCATAGCCCAGGCTGGCCTCAAATTACATTCCTCCTGCCTCAGCTTCTCAAGTGATAGGACCATAGTTAGGTATGCACCAGTGAATTCTGACTTCTATTTTAAAATTCTGTAATTAATTCAGAAATAACCCTTAGCTTGAATGTGTGGCATTGAGGTTGAACACAGTGCCTCATGGTGCTAGATGACCTCAGCCGTCTCCAGGCCTCTTGTCTCTTCACGTTGTCCTGCCCCTCCCCGCCCTTTTGAGATGGAGTATCATGTCAGTTGGTCTCATACTCCTGATGATCTCCTTGCTGCCACCTTCTAGTCACTGGTATAGGCTCTTATTGATGTTTTTTTTTTTTTTTTTTTTTTTTTGCTCCCAGCACTTGGGAGACATAAGCAGAGTATTTGGAGTTTGAGACCAGCCTTTGCTACATATATACATATATACATCTTGTCCCAAAAAATTAAATGACCCATCTGTTAACCCAGGTGTGGGACACCTATAACCCTATCATTTGAGAAGCTAGTGTCAGGAGGATTGGTAATTTAAGGCCAGCTTGAAGTATATACACTCTAATGTGTGTACAGTTGGTAGGGTAGGGTATATGTCTAGCATGTGTGAAGTGTGAAGTTCTGAGATCAGTACTCAGCTTTACATACACCAGATTTGGTGGCACATGCTTATCCATGCTTAGACCAGTGAGGCAGAGGAAGGAGCAATTCAAAGTCATCCTTGGCTATACGGTAAGTTGGAAGGCAGCCTGAGCCAAATGAGATCCTGTCTCAAAAGCAAACGGGTCAGCAAGATGGCATAGTGGATGGAGGGGCTTGCTTGCCACCAAGCCTGATGACCCGAGTTCGTTCCCTGGGCCTACGCATAGTGAAAGCAAAGAAGTGATTCCTGAGGGTGTGTGAGAGTGCCCACTGACACATGCTCTAAATAAATACAGTAAAGCAAAACAGAACAAATACGTGTCACATATTTTCATAATTTTGTTCTTTTAGTTTTGACCATGCTGACTAATGAAACTGGCTTTGAAATTAGCTCTTCTGATGCTACGGTGAAAATTCTCATTACAACAGTGCCACCTAATCTCCGAAAACTGGATCCGGAACTCCATTGTAAGTCTTCTCTCCCCCGTTTGTGGCAGGATAGCCAAAGCTTTGAAGCTTTCTGGAGAATTTTACTTCACCCTAATTTGTAAATAGTTTTACCAGCTTCCTAGTGAGATTTTCAAAGCTTTAAAAAGGATTGCAGAAGAAAAAACTTGAAGAGAAAGTTAAAAAGTAAAAAAATAAAAGCCTGTATAAATGCTTGTGAAGAGAAATAGATAATTGGGAAAGATTTGGCTGGGGAGGAACAATAGTGTTTGGACAAGTGACTTGCCACACTCCTGGACTGGTATTGGGATTGAATTTATTGCACACTTAGAAGAGGCAGGCGGATCTCTGTGAGTTCGAGGCCAGGCTGGACCGACAGCCTCCGAAACAATACAGAGAAATCCTGTCTCGTAAAACCAAAAAAAAAAAGAAAGTTTCTTAACCTGTTGTACTTGTCTTCAGTGGACATCAAGGTGTTGCAGAGCGCTTTAGCGGCCATCCGGCATGCCCGCTGGTTTGAAGAAAATGCCTCTCAGTCCACGTGAGTGTCCCTAGTTATTGCATAAGATAACCCTTCCTGAGTAGTGTAGTGGTTCTGGCCTGTGATCCAGCCTTCCTCTAACAGATGTGATGTCTGGGTTTTGATTTTTACCTAACGGTTGAAGGAGGACATACTAATATTACAGTGTATATGTGTGTGCATGTGCAGATGTGTGCATAGGCACACACACAGGTCATAATCATGTGAATCTCAGGGATTGAACTCAGGTTTGTCAGATTTAAGAACAAATGCCTCCTCTGCTGAGCCAGGTGGTAGGCGCAATGTATATGTAGTTCTCTATTTAAATAGTATAGTCATCTTTGATTCCCAAGTGTGGAGATACCAGTATGGTGGTATTAGCTCTAACCTATGGGTCTCTTATATTCAGAGTTAAAGTTCTCATCAGATTGCTGAAGGACTTGAGGATTCGTTTTCCTGGCTTCGAGCCTCTCACACCCTGGATTCTTGACCTTCTTGTAAGTTAAAAAAAAAAAAAAGCATCTGAGGATATAGCTGGGTAGAGTGTGAGCATGCAAGAGGTCCCTGGTGCAATTGCCAGTACTGCAGAAAGGAACAAGGGTGCAATTGGAGTCACTCTTTGTCTATACATTTATTTAGTTTAATTTTTTGTTTTTCCAGACAGGGTTTCTCTGTATAACAGCTCTGGCTGTCCAGGAACTAGCTCTGTAGATCAGGCTGGCCTTGAACTCATAGAGATTTGTCTGCCTCTTCCCAGTCTATTTAGTTTTTTTTTTTTAAGATTTATTTATTTTTTTATTATGATTACAACATCCTGCCTTCATGTCTGTCTGCAAGCTAGAAGAGGACACCAGATCTCATTACAGATGGCTGTGAGCTACCATGTGGTTGCTGGGAATTGAACTCAGGATCTCTGGAAGAGCAGCTAGTGCTCTTAACCTCTGAGCCATCTCTCCAGTCCCAGTATATTTAGTTTTAAGACAGGGCTTGCTTCCAGAGTACTTGCATTAAAAGGATGTGCCACCATACCCAGCTTGATTTCCCTTTAAGCCTACCAACATCAGAAATCCAATGAGGCTGGACAGGCTGAGGCAGGAGCATTTAGAATTCGAGGCTAGTCTGTGTGACTAAGGGAGACCCTGTGTTTAAAAATACAACCAAAGTTTACTGGGGAGCAGTCTAGGAAGATGAAGTTTACTGCTTCACTGAGGTTTTAGTGCTCAGTGAAATTGCTTTGTGCTTTTATTACTGATGTCAGCTTGTCATTATAGCTAGCTTTCCTTATTACCTGAAGTTTTAGTTTGTTTGAACGTAGAATGGATAGCACACCTACTGGACTTAATTCTCTTCCAGGGACACTATGCTGTGATGAATAACCCCACCAGACAGCCTTTGGCCCTGAATGTGGCATACAGGTATGGCATGCTTCTTTGGGTTTGGCTTATAAGATGTTTTGTGTGCTTTCTAAAATGTCTTTGTCTTCTAGGCGTTGCTTGCAGATTCTGGCTGCAGGACTGTTTCTACCAGGGTCAGTGGGCATCACTGACCCCTGTGAGAGTGGCAACTTCAGGGTACACACAGTGATGACCCTAGAACAGCAGGTACTAAGACAACCATGAAATGAGCGGGATTCTGGCCAGAAGGCAAATTGGAGTGGGGATTCCAAAGACTGGATGACCTTGAGATTAAAAACTGTCTTCCGTCTCTTTCACATGGTTATAAGGCATGTGTATACCTTTTTTTCGGTTAATTTTATCTTCCTTGCTCTTCAGGATATGGTCTGCTACACAGCTCAGACACTGGTTCGAATTCTCTCCCATGGAGGCTTCAGGAAGATCCTTGGCCAGGAGGGAGATGCCAGCTGTGAGTTCTCCTGTGGTGTGGTCCCCTGTGGTGTGGTCTATAGAGAGGCTGTATCTTCTGGTGCCCCAATATTTCTGAATATATCTTACTTTGTTTGCTGGGCTATTTATATGAAGCGGGTTTTATCTTTCTCAGATCTTGCTTCTGAAATATCTACCTGGGATGGAGTGATTGTGACACCTTCAGAAAAGGCTTATGAGAAGCCACCTGAGAAGAAGGAAGGAGAAGAGGAGGAGGAGAATACAGAAGAGCCACCTCAAGGGGAAGAAGAAGAAAGTATGGAGACTCAGGAGTGAACTTCCTTACTCTGTTCTGCCCAAGGGGAAATGAGCCTAAGCCAGCCACCATGGGGCTTTATGTGGTGGCATTTCTGTGGCATAGGGAGATAGAAGGAAGGAAAACAAATTGAAGAAAAGTATGCCATTCCTTTGTTGATAGCGGCTAAGCAGCTATAAGTCTCCCATTTGTGACTGTATATGCCCTCCGTCCATCTGAATGAACCAGAATGCCACACTTTCCCAATATTTAAACCTAACCACTCCCAACCAGTACTCTGTTGAAATGTAAAGTGTCTGGGAATTTTTTTTTCTAAGAAAAATGATTAAAGTACTTCCTAGCAGGGCTTTGGTTTTATTTTTCCAATATGTAGCAACCAGTTTTGCCTTTTTTTTTTTTTTTTTTTTTTTTTTGGTTTTCCAAGACAGGGTTTCTCTGTAGCTTTGAGTCTGTCCTGGAACTCACTCTGCAGACCAGGCAGGCTTCGAACACAGAGAGATCCGCCTGCCTCTGCCTCCCAAGTGCTAGGATTAAAGGCTTGTGCCACCACTGCCTTCTATACACTTCATTTAGAATTAAAGTTGAATCTTTTATTATAAACACTGAGATTGCAATTTCAAACCATGTGAATTAAAAATAATGGACTCCTGGAACCTTTGTATGTTTGAGAGCAAACTGGAATACATTTAAGCGTTGTGATGGTTAATTTTCAGGTAAGCTTGGCCTAGGAGGTGAGACATACCTGGTTTTCTGCAGAGGACTAACTGAGAAACAAGACCACCCTAAATGTGTGTAAAATCATTCTACGACCTGGGTGCTTAGACAAAATAAAGAAATCCTGTCTCTTGGCCAGCATGAGATGGAGAAGCTTGGTTACCACACATTCATCAAGTCAGAAAACAGGCCCAGAAACATGACCATGACCTAAACACTTTGAAACCAGGAAGCAAGATAAACCCTTGTTTGTTTGTTTAAATTTATACAAGCATTTATTTAATAGTGGTGAACAATACTATTAACATGTTCAAGCCAGGGTAGTCAAGAGGATTGATATTACCTTGACTTTGCCTAAGTCCTCAATTGTAAACAAAGCAAAGCCACAGGTCAAGGAAACCCTGCCTGGATCCAAGTAAGAAGACAGTAACAGGAAGGTCAAAACTGGTTAACTAGGCCTGGAAAGGATGGAATCACAATATTTAGCTTTCTTTTAGTTTTTTATCTTATGCAAATATATTTTGTCTGTCTATGCATCTTATGTGTGCACTGTGCCCAAAATAGCCAGAAGAGGGCAGTGAGTCCTCTGGAACCAGAGTTCTAGATTGCTGAGTTACCATGTGGGTGCTGGGAACTGAACTCCATCATCTGGAAGAGCAGCCAGTGCTCTTAAATGACTGAGCCATCCCTCCAGCCCTTCACAAGAGCTTATGGACTCTCCGCTGTCAAGGCTCTCTGCCCTTGACCCTTGGATCCTCATGTCTTTTGTTATGCTCTCCTAGGGCAGTAACAAACCCAAACATATAGGATATATGAAAAGACGAATCAGGAAAGGCCGTAACCATGAATGGACCTGGTAAAGCTCAGAGGGAGGAGTGGAAGTATACTTTCTGCATAAATCTCTGGTGTGTTATGAATTTTCTACATGATGCCAAACCTACTTAACATTCTCTGTGGGAAAATGTAGAGTCTTGAGCCAGGAACCCTGGCACATGCCTATAATCCCAGCATTAAGGAGGCAAAGGCAAGACAACCTCCTGTTTGAGGCCAGCCTGGGCTACATATTGAGACTTTGTCTCAAGAGACAAAATCTATAAAGTAGAGGCTTATTGGAAATGCAAGCTATAATGGAGGTTCTCTAGGCAATAGTCCTGCAGTTTGTTTCTTGAGGCTGCTACACGAATAAGTAAGTACACAGTTCAAACAAACCAAAGGTCTACAGAAACTGCTTCCTGGAATCTTCGCATGTCTACCAAAGCAAGGCAGCTGGAGAACAGTACTTGTACACACAGGTCATAGGCCCAGCTTATTTGCTTGGAGAACCAGGAGGGTAAACTCCTGAATCCAGCATTGCTCTCCTTCGAGCTGTTTCCTTGGCAACACTGTGATTTAGCCGCCTTAGCCGTTCCTACAAGACAGGAAGATAGGGAATCTAAGGACTGCTGTAAAAGGTATTACTTGAGTCAAGTAGGCACTGAAAGATATCTTAGGCTTGGATTTTTTTTTTTCTTTTTCTTTTTGGTGTTTAAAGTCAGGGTTTCTCTGTATAACAGCCTTGGCTGTCCTGGAACTCGCTCTGTAGATCGGGCTGGCCTTGAACTCACAGAGACCCACCTGCCTCTGCCTCCAGCAGGATAAAGAATTGTGAGAATTTTATTGTGTTGTTTTGATCCAGGGTCTTGCTATGTAGCCCTAGCTGATCTGATAGTCCCTGTGTAGACCAGGCTATGCTCCAAGTCCCAGCCAACCTTCTTGCCTTAGCCCACCAAATGCTGAACTTTCATTATGTGTCACCGTGCTCTGCTAGGATATATTTTTTAAAATTTTCTTTTTTTATTACCTGGGCATTCTGTAAAATATTGTTAACCAAAACAACTCGTCGCCTGGCATTAAGCAGCTTCTTAACATAGGGGTCCAGATCCAGGGCCACCTTCTGATCCTCGTTGATCCGGCAAAGTTCTGGGAAGAGGAAATGGGAAACCAACATCTAATGTCTCATTGTTTTGTTCTTAGGGGATGTAAAAGTGGAATGGGACGAAAAACACTCTTGTAGTCTTGTGCGACCACAGACACCTTCCCTTCACTCCCTTTCACTCTGTCCTAAGATACTCCCAGAAATTAGTCCGTGGGTAGTTCTGATATCGAGGGAACCTAACCTAAAGACTGCGAAACCAAGGCTCGTATAAAAGTGAGTTCAAGGGTTCTAGGTATTCCGGGCGCTCACTCACCTGTAGCTAGGTTGTCAATTTGTTCCCGGAGCTCTACCTGGCTTTCTCTGCAAAGAGGTACAAAGGCCTGCACGGTCAGTGAATGGAACGCGGGAAACTAAATCTACTCATTCCTCCAGGACTGAGACAAGCCAACCTCAGCTTAAAGGGCTCACCTACGCCCTTGCTCCTCTTTTACCCAGCCTCAACATCAGTTTCCCAGCAGAGCCTTGGTCTCAAGAACTTACTGGTCTGGCCTCTTCCTTTCGTGGCCCCGCCCCTACAAAGCCAGTTCCAAAGGCCCCGCCCCCAGCCGTCCCGGTCCAGCACCTGACCGCGTGCACGTGAGAGTCGAGCTGCTGCACAGCGGGTCTCAGGAACTCCAGGAGCCCCTCGGCAAAGAGGTCGCGGCCCGTGAGCCCCGCCACTGGGGTCCCTGCCCCTGACACAGCAGCGGAGCCGGCCGCGGCCATCACGAACTGCCTGACGCCCGAAGCCTGCCGCGAGGGCCGCCGGGAACTACGGCGCGTCGCTGTGCGCCGCGAGGGGGCGCTGAGGTATACAGTCTGTGCGGCAGAGGGATGGCTGGGAAATGGAGTCCTCAGAGAGCCGGGGGCGAGCATGGCCGGGTTTAGAGCCCCCTGGAAATTGTAGTTCTTTCGTGGGTCTGAGGTGGGCGGGATCCAGAACCATGTTTTTGGATTGGGTATTTTTAGATTTTATTTTATTTTTAGAAATAGGGTCTCTCTACATTGCCCTGACTGATTTGGAACTATGTAGACCAGGCTGACCTGGAACTCACCGAGATGAAGCTGGCCTTGAACTCAGAGTACCGCCTGCTTCTGCTTCCTGAGTGCTGGGATCAAAGGCTTGCACCACCACCGTCTGGTGAATTTTATATTTCTAAATATTGTATTATTATGTCATGTAGCCCAAGCTAGCCTTGAGCTCACAATGTTACTATTTCTCTCTCTAGGGCTGGAGTTACCGGGTTGTGCAGCCATAACAGGTTTTACAATTTTTATGCTTTTTTGGGGGGGGCAGGGAGGATCCCTCGGGTTTGAACCCAGGTCCTCGTGATTGCTAGACAAATGCTCCACTGAGCTATATCCCCATAATACCTTTCTCCCCACCCCCCACTTTTTTATTTTTGAGATAAGGTTTCACCGAATTGCCAGAGTGGACTTGGATTTGCTTTTAGTTCCATGCAGGCCTCGAATATGTGATCCTCCTGGTTCAGGTACAGGCTTGCACCAGGTCTGGATCCTAAGGAAGTTTCCAATTTGTTTTTCAGTTTTACTTCCTGTGTGTTTATGTGTATGTATGTAGACCTGTGCCATGGCACATGTGTAGAGTCAGAGGACAACTTGTGAAGTCGGTTCTCGCCTTCCAGCATGTGGGTCCCTGGCATTGAATTCGAGGCTTCAGATTTGGCCCCTTAGCGTTCGGAACCATTTTGTTGCCCTGGTTTGGGAGTTTTTGTGTGTATACATGACTGCAATGAGATCAGAAGTGTTGGTGTTACAGGCAGTTGTAAGCTGTTTGACAAGATACAAGGAAACAAACTAATTCTCTGGAAAAGCGTTACATATGTGCTCTTAACTGCTGAGTCACCCCTTCAGCCCCTAATTGGTTACTTTTTTTTTTTTTTCCCCTTCCGAGGCAGGGTTTCTCTGACCTGGAACCCGCTCTGCAGACCAGGCTGGCCTCGAACTCACAGAAATCCACCTGCCTCTGCCTCCCGAGTGCTGGGATTAAAGGCGTGTGCCACTAAATTATTACTTTAAAACTATGTGTATGCCGGGCGGTGGTGGCGCACGCCTTTAAGCCCAGCACTCGGGAGGCAGAGGTAGGTGGATCTCTGTGAGTTCGAGGCCAGGATGGACCGACAGCCTCCAAGACAATACAGAGAAACCCTGTCTCGAAAAACCAAAAAAAATAAAATAAAATAAAAAATAAAACTATGTGTATGTGTGTATATGGGTGCACATGACTGCTCCTTAAGAACATTTTGTGTTACACAAAATAACCTGGCCTCCAAAGGATAAATATTATATGGTTTCATTTATATGAATGGCCAAATTCATAGAGATAAAAGTGTAGGATGGGGCTGTGTGAAGGCACTTGTGTAGCATGCCAGAGGCTCCAGGTTACATTATCTGCACTGAGAAACAACAAAAGTAGACCTGGATTGAGAGGCAGGAAGAATGGGATTGCTTGATGGGTAAAGTATCCCATCTTGGGAAGATGCGTAACTATGCACTTGCTGCTAGTGAACTGTATATTTTGACATACCTTAAGTGGATCATGTAAAACATACTTCCGTGGCGCACGCCTTTAATCCCAGCACTCGGAAGGCAGAGGCAGGCGGATCTCTGTGAGTTCGAGGCCGGGCTGGACCGATAGCCTCCAAAACAATACAGAGAAACCCTGTCTCGTAAAAACCAAAAAAACAAAAAAAACAAAAAAAACCCCCCATACTTCCTGTCTGGTTTTTGAGGCAGGTCTCACTCTGTAGCCTTGGTTGACCTAGAACTCATAGAGATCAAGCATACAGGGGAAAAGCAGATAAGCAGAGTAGCAGACATGAAGTCCTGTGTCCCTGGTCTGAGGTACAGATACTGTTGAAGAGGGCATAGATCAAGTTCACTGTAATGCTATGTTGGTGGACTGCGCTGGATCCTGTCCTCTGGAGTCCCTGCTGGAGTGCTTTATGGGAGATGGCCCTCTTAGTATGCTGCTGTAAAACACCTTGAGGACACTGGGTGTCACTAGCTGTTCTGTATCTCAGGACCTTGGACGTGGGAGAAGCCACCAAAGCCAGAAAGCAGCATTTCCTCCTGAATGTTTTTCCAGCCTTCTCTGAAGAGGGCAAAGGAAATGTTTAAGAGTTCCAGGACTATTTTTACTGAGTAGATTAGATAAAGAGTTAATACAGGGGCCAGGCGTTGGTGGCGCAAGCCTTTAATCCCAGTACTCGGGAGGCAGAAGCAGGCGGATCTCTGTGAGTTCGAGGCCAGCCTGGTCTACAGAGTGAGTTCCAGGACAGCCTCCAAAACAATACAGAGAAACCCTGTCTCGAAAAACAAAACAAACAAACACAAAAAAAAGAGTTAATACAGGGCTGGAGAGATGGCTCAGAGGTTAAGAGCACTGCATGCTCTTCCAGAGGTCCTGAGTTCAGTTCCCAGCAACCACATGGTGGCTCACAACCACCTATAATGAGGTCTGATGCCTTCTCCTGGGGTACAAGCATGTACACAGATAAAAAACTGTATACATAATAAATAAATAATTAAAAAAAGAGTTAATACAGCATTGTGAGGGTATCTTTTGTTTGAGACAAGGTTTCACTGTGTACTCCTGGCTGGTCTGGAACTCCCTTTGTAGACCAGGTGGGCCTTGAACTCAAGAGATCCTCCTGCCCCTACCTTCCAAGTGCTGAGGTGGAAGGCCTGCACCAGTATCAAAATGTTTACAAAGTATGAAAAGGGCAGAGGGTGCTTGAAATCAGGAGAGAGGAAGGAAGGAAAGGGCAGAATTAGTGGGGAGTTGTATAAGAAAATGCAGAGATCATGATCGTCGCATCCTGGTAACCCTGTGGTCCTCCGCAAACTCACTTTTCTATAGGACTGTCTTTGATTTTTGTTTTCTCCATGCTCCAGCACAGGGCATTTGTGGTTTATCAGTCTTTTCACTTCTGAAATCCTCGTGGTGCATGTAGACTGATGGGGTGAGCTTGAGCAAGGTGTTCATCACCTGTGAAGCAGTAGTAGTACAACAGCGTATACCCAGCCTGGAGTCAGTGACGATGGTATACCATCGATATGGCTGCTAAGCATTCACAAAATTTCGGCAGAGGGCTCTTAGGTACTGTCCATCAACTGTCACAATGTCAGCAGCTTCTCAGTCCTAAGTGGTGGATGGGCTGGATCCTGGGTGACTTTGACTTCTTATCCTCCAACTTGGGCCTCAGTTCTTCGATATCTCATTTCATTTTCTTCTTAACTTTTAACTCAAGAATCCCCTGTATTAGCTGGGCATTGGTGGCACACGCCTTTAATCCCAGCACTCAGGTGCCAGAGGCAGTAGGATCTCTGAGTTTGAGACCAGCCTGGTCTACCAAGCGAGTTCCAGGACAGGCTTCAAAACAATACAGAGAAACCCTGTCTTGAAAAACAAAAACAAACAAATCCCCTGTATTAGACCTACCCAAGCAAGCCACCATCAGCCTGGACAGATACCTCCCTACTCTTTCCATCATCTCCATCAGGAGAAATCACTTCCTTTTTGACTGCTAGGTCACCCCACTGTTCCCTAACAACCTCAACCCAGTGCCCCTTCCCTGTCAGGTCTAGGGGTACTGACCCCCATCACAGTTTGCCTCATAAGTCAGCTGACACACAGAAAGTCCTGTACACAGGCTGGTGAACAGTATACCCTGCTGATCTAGCTGTTCTCTCATGGTTAACCCTCCCTTCTGCCTATTTTTTTTTAAAGGTTTATTTATTATGTATGCAGTGTTCTGCCTACATGCCAGAAGATGGCACCATTTCTCATTATAGGTGGTTGTGAGCCACCATGTGGTTGCTGGGAATTGAACTCAGGACCTCTGGAAGACAAGCCAGTGCTCTTAACCTCTGAGCCATCTCTCCAGCCTAAATTTCTAATCAGCTGGGTTGGTGCTATTGGATCCCAGTGCTTCTAAGCTTTTGTGTTATGTCCTGGAGGTTCTGACCCTGCTCACTTCAAGCTCCCTTTTCTGACTCCACTTCCCCACCCCTTCAACTGTGGCTAGGCTGTCTAGCCTTCGGTCTTGGTTGCCCCAAGGTAGGTAGGTGCATAAGGAAGCTTTGCAGGAATACTTGTGTTGGCTCAGGTAACACAAAGTGCCCCTACCTGAAGGCCACCTGCACCCCGTACTTTTCCTGGGTGAGACATTGTGTACTTGTGGAAGGGAGGGTGCATGAGAACGATGCCTAGCTTTATCCAAGGAACAAGGGTGGGGATAGTCTGGGCTTGCCCTTCTAGGAGGCCAGAACGTAAGGTACCCTACATTTCAGTGGAGAAACTGCAAGAGTTGTAGGGTGTCTGCTGGAAAAGGTTAAACATAGCCAGCCAGGCAGCTTGCGGCTCTAGTTGCTTACTGACAGTTATTCCTGGAGAGCTGCCATCTGCTTGGGTAAAATCTCAGGTGATGCCCAGGATTCCTGCTAACCACAAAGGAAGAGAAATGAGGATGTGGTCCTGGCCTTGGTCTTCCCTCATCTGTTCTCAGCTTTTTCCCCCCCATCCCTTTTGAGAATGTACTGGTGAATTTAAGATTGAAGGGCATTTTGGGAGAACCCTTGTCATTGCACTTCCAGGAAGCTTTTCCATTGCATTCCCTTCCCATGGATGTTGTCTTAAGCTGATGATAGGGTCAAAGCTAATGAAGTGAATCCCGGCCTGGGCCTGCTGGGTGTTTGCAGCTATCAGCACAGATCCCACAGCTGCCCTTGGCCTGCCTCCATTCCCTAGTGTCAT